GGGTGTTGGTGGAGGGATCCTCGGGAGAGAGAGTCATGCAACGAGGCCGCAGCCTCCTCCGTATTGCATAAGGGATAGACGAACGCCAGACGCAGATGCCGAGAGCAAAATGTCGCCGCAAGTGGATCGGGCAGCACCGCCATGGCGCGCCACAAACAGCACAACCCCTTCGCTTTCCGATACACTATCACGCGGTTAGCGCCCTGATTGGCCGCCTGCCCAAACGTTTTCGCCCTCTACCCCCTCCCTTACCCCCCTTCTCTACGGTCAGCGATGTCATTCACCCCCACCCCCGTTCCCTCCGAACCGTCCTCCCCAATATGCTCCATACAAGCGCGCCCCCAAAGCCCCCTCCCTCCCTCTCCCCACCTCCTACCCCCGCAAGTAACCCTCACTTTTCTGTTGTGTGTCGCGCCCGCTAACTCAACGGGCCACCAGTTTTCTCGTGTGCGGTATTTGTGCTGATGTGGACATGTCGCGTAGCGGCGGGCGGTGGTAGGTAGGGGCTGGAGGGAGAGGGGTTGTAGTGAGAGAGAGAGAGAGAGAAAGAGAGAGAGAGAGAGAGAGAGAGAGAGAGAGAGAGAGAGAGAGAGAGAGAGAGAGAGAGAGAGAGAGAGAGAGAGAGAGAGAGAGAGAGAGAGAGATGTGCGAGGGAGAGGGTGGAAGGACGCGGGACAGGTGGCGCCAGCAGTCACAACGACATGGCACAATTGCGTCCGTATCGAGGCCAAGGAGAACGGAGGGGAGGGGGTCGGCCAAGCAAAACGATCCAAAAAGGCTTCACGCACAGTTCAACGTTGTAATTACAAGGTAGACGCACGTTAAAACCGTGTGAAGCTGAGCTAAATGTGCGTCTACCTTGGCCTGCGGCGCGCTAAAATTAAAATGTTTTCGCGATTTTGGTTGGCATGCCTGTCCACCTCACATCCCACGTCTCACGCCAGGCGCCTCACTTCACGCCGTCTTCCGGGCGGTCTCCCCTTGCGCTTCCTGACAGAGCTGAGCATTTAAAGTTAAAGTTTAATTTCAAGTTCAAGTTAAGCTCAGCAATAATTATTCCCCGTTTTAGGAAAAGTATTCAGATATGATTGACGAGGACGGTATTTTATCTGAAAATTAAGCAAATTTAATTTCAAGGACGTCAGGCAATTATAACGAAAAAAAACCCACAAAACAACAAAGGTTTTATTTTAACTATATCGCCCTTTCAGAAAGGTAAAGAGCTTATGCGGCGACGCCGGTGCTAATAGTTCTGGTAGATTAATTTATTTTAAAAGAAAGGGAAAGAGAAAAAGGAGTGCGCGCCATACACGAGAATATATAGGGGGCTGAGTTGGATAGAGAGCGAGAGAGCGAGAGAGCGAGAGAGAGAGAGAGAGAGAGAGAGAGAGAGAGAGAGAGAGGGGGGGGGGCGAGGGGAAACGGGTGAAATCACACAGCAGCAGGCATTCCCGCACCGCCGACAGAGAAAACAGCCGCAAACACGGCCCTAAAGATAATGTCTCTGCGCCTGGCGTGGCGTGGCGGGGGCCCCAGTGCGCGGCACGCCAATGTATTCGTGATAGAGCAGCGCCGGCGATACTCTGAATAGGGGCTGCCTGCCGCGGGGCCGGGCCGGGCCGGGCGGGCACAAGATGGAGATAGCTCCAGGGCACATTATGAGGACTTTGGGTAAAGCCAACCCTCTGCCCCCGAACCTCCCACTTCCACCTCCCCTCCCCGCCCCCCACCGGGGCGCGCTGCCATTCAAACGAGTGCAAAAGCCTGGCCCTGGCTCGGCCGGCCTCGCGCGACGGCGGGCCACCCGGGCCGCCCGCTCAGGGCGCTCCGGCCCAACCAAAACGCTTGCTGCTGGAATTTTTACGAGCGAGGCGAGGAGGGAGAAATATCACTATTATTTTTATTATTACTGTCGGTGTTGTTATTACTCTTTTTATATGCGTCCAGCAGATATGCAAAATACGCCCCCGGCACGCACTCGATTACCGAGGCATCGATTAGAGAGCAGAGCGAGGCAAAAGCCAGCGCCGGCCCGAAAGCTCAAAGGGAAGGAAACAAACTCAAAAAAGTTATATTTATTTTTATGAAAAAATAATAGGATAAGAGGTTTGGTCGGTACGCCTCGGTACGTCCCGCTTTTGCACAGAACTGAGGAACTTACAAAATGCATACAATCTCGCAGACAAAATGTGTCGCGCAGTGTAAGGGGGCTTAGCCGACCTGTGACAGCGGGGCGATCGACAGCGCAGAACAGAGAAGACCAAACTGCGGCCACTCCTTGCCGCGACTACCGCCACCTCAACTTCCATCCCGCCTTTCACCCGAAAACTTTTTCCCAGACGGGCCGAACCGGGGGAGCCCGCCGCCAGGAGTTGAATCCAGAAAAAGGCCAGTGTTTGCTCTCCCGAGGCTCCATTTCTAATATAGGCAAACTTTAGTTTCTATTGAAAACGGGAAAAAAAGGAGGTGGTGCGGGATTGGGGGTCGAAACGTGAACGGCGTTCGCGGCGAGTCGTCTGGGGAGACGAAAGAGGCAAGTAGCCAGACATACTTGCAAACGTTCATACGCACTGTTATTCACAATACCAACAGCGGGAGGCAAACAAACTTTAATTTCCCCTATTTTTAAGAACTATTTTAGGAGGGTACTTACCAGCCCATGGTGAAGTGCGTGACGATGTGCGCGGTGCGCTCGTTCTCCAGCTTGGCCTCGGTGCACGTCACCCTCATCTCGTCGTGGACCCCGTCCTGGGGGTCGAGGCCCGTGGCCGCCGCCACGACGGGGTCCAGCATGTCCACCATGGGGCCTTGCTGGCCTCGGCCCCGGCCCCCGTCGCGGCCGTCGTGGTCCATGTCGTCGAGATCCGAGCCTGCAACGCAAACAATGGAGAGGGAACATTTAAACATTGCATAAAAGCGCGGCGAGCAGGTAACCTTCACTCAATGCTATTCTCTCGGCTTTTCTCGTCGTAATTTTCGCGCACGCGGAAACACATTTCAGCCCCCAGCTCCGCGCCCGGCTCGCTCTGGTTGAGCAGAGGGTTCGCCGTATGAAGCTGGATATTTTAGCGCGGTATTTCGGCGCCGCGCCGCTGTGTGCCGCCACCCACCCCCGCTGCTGTGTGCCTCTACCGCCGCC